GGTGCATGCAGCAGGATCAGGAATCAATCAACAAAAAGTGCTTAACAAAAAGAAAGGGAAGTAGAAAAAGAAGGCAAGTGTAATGTGTTTTAATGATGATGTAACCATGGTTTTTAAAAACGAACCGGTTAGGGTCCAGTTACCGGTTCGAACGGTCCGATCGTTCAACTCCAACGGCTGGCCTGTTCTGACAAAAAAATAAAAAAATAGAAAATGGTTAAAACCGTTCGAACAGTTAACTGGCCGGTTCAGCAGTTTACTAAYCAAAATCAACAGCTTTAAGGGAAAAAGCGGTTTTAGAGGAAAACAGAACCGATCAGGTAACTRGTTCCTCACTTTTCCAATCCAACCATCCGGTCCGATCCGGTTTTGAAAACAGTGGATGTAACAAAGCGTGATAATGTCAATAAAATTACAAGCTTGATTAGTTAAGCGTAATCATCAAAAGTGGGAAATAGGAACCTGATTTCCTACGCTCAGATTCTGGGCAGAGCTGGTGGATGGCGAAGTAAGTTCACCGACCATGTTAGGACCACTCAAAACTAAGGTTCCATTCTTCTTTTATAAATTATTTATTCGGATAAATATATTTATTCAGATAAGTTTTTTTTCTTTGATTTTTCAAGAAATATTTATTGGGTAAGTGCATTTATTTATATTTTTTTATTTTTGAAATAAATAAGACAATAACTATTTTAGCCATAAAAACTCATTATTGGAAGGGGGTATTTTTATTCCATCCAAGTGTTGACAACTTTCCCCTASGTAGAAAAGCTATTTTGTGATCCCCACATAAATCTGAAAAAAGATCATAGGTTTTTTGGTCAATGAGAACTAAAATTCCATTGACCAACTCTCCCCCCCCCTCCCCCAAGACTGGATCTTCTCCTCACACAGGGCGCCTCACACCAACCTCACAGGCACATCCCACCATTAGACCTGTTTATGGGCCGGGTGGCCCAACAGGCCGGCCCACCTCCCGGACGGGCTTGAACAGGCTTTTTGGCCCGTGGGCTTAACCTCAGGCCAAAATAGCCCAGCCCGAGCCCGACCCGGCCCGACCTATAGTTAAATCTAAGTAAAAGCCCTATGTGATGTCCATTTGAATAATTTTTTTGATTTAAAAAGGTTGTTAATTCACTTGTAGGCCCATCGTTCATTTAAATAGGGGAAAAAACATCTGAATTAAAATAGATAATGTCCATTTGAATAGGGAAAAAWTTGAATTTCTTTTATTAGGTTAGGCTTCGGGCTCGGGCTTCAGGCTTTTTATCAGGGCTGGGCTCGGGCCCAAATTGTAGGCCCATTGGTCGGGCCAGGATCGGGCTCGGGCCTAACATTTTTCTGTTAATAAAGAGTAAAAGCCCGGCTCGGCCCAGCCCATGAACAGGTCTACCCACCATGTATTAGGAACATCTTCTGTACTCATATGTTATTATTCACAGGAGATATTCCCAATGCATGGTGAGATATGATTGTAAGATGAGACACTCTGTGTGAGGAGCAGATCCCAATCCCCCCCCGCCCCTCAAAATCCAAAAAACAAAAACACCCTAAAAGATAGTAAGATATTTGTAAAAAGATCAAATTGATGTTTATAATATGATTCTCATATATAATATAACAATACATATTTTTGATCAATTTGTATTGATGGGCCCAAAATATTTTAGGTATAAACAACAATGCTATCAAACACAATCTTAATCTATTAACCATAAACCTACATGCTATTTTCTGCCAAACTAATAGCCTAAATCAAGTGCCGTTTGGGAGGGCTTTCAACCAGCAGCTTATGACATTACATGAGCTGAAGAACCCACAATGTGGTGAAGCCATATTTGGTAAAAACCTGAAAATTTGCTAGAGACACAACATCACCCTTGAAATTCAATCAACACAGAAGCCCTCCCAAAGGGGCTCCAAGTATTCGATGCCAACACTTGAAATTCAAATTTCAATGAGAATGGGACTTATACATTCTAAACCTAATACATTAAAATATAAACTAATTAGTATAAATAAAAGTTAAAAATCTTCAAGTTAAAGTTCATTGCATGACGAAAAATAAATTATATAAATACGCTTTACTAACAATAATTTTTGGAGTAGAGAGGTGATGATTTGGGAACTGAGAGAAATGGATGGAGTATTCATTATTGTGCCTTCTCTTTTTAAAGAGTAAAAACAGCTTATACATTATTATAATTAAAGATTTGGTCAGTGTTAGGATTTGGAAAGAGATTTGTGTTGTTTTTGACTATTTTAAGTGATAAGACTTGGGAGAGGAGTTAATATGCATGCTTTCATGAATTTCTTTTCTTCTTTATCATTTTTTAATTGGTAATATAAAAGATTTTTGTGGAGAAGCATATAGGCCTAACCTTTGGGTGGGTTTTGAGAGAGGTAGACTAGACATAGACCCAACCTTTGGCATTTTCTTTCTTTTTTTTTTTTAATAAAAGGGGATAATAACAGAGGGGCTACACAATGTAGCTCCCCTTAAACTTGGACCTATGTTCTCACACTTATCAAACCGAGATTTTGTGAAGGAGCATACCAGAATAAGAAATGGAGAAATCCCCAAGGCTAGCTCTATTTAATTTGTTTGCAGTTCATTGCAAATGTATAGGAATGCTGATTATATATGTTCTTTTATTTCAGGTTTTATTTTGTTTTATTTGCTTATTGGGAGGAATATGATTGGAAGTGAAGCAATATGGGCCTCACTTCATATGAGAGAATGAGAAGAGGAAGGTGGAAGGAGTGAAACAAGGTAATCCCCACTCTGCGTGGGAGAAAATGATGATAGGAGAAAGGTGGTGCAAGTTTTGCAATATCAGACAAAAATCGCAAATTTTGCATCCAGTTTGGATTTACATTGCAAACAAATGGAGCTTAAACCTTTAGAAGCATGGGTGTAATAGGGGAAAATAAAAAATTGTATCCTAAATTTTTGAGGGATATGCTTGTTGCATCTTTAATTCACTAAGGGGGTGTTTGGTATTATGGTGTTGTATTGGTGTTGCATTTTAAGTTGATCAATACAAATTGTTATTTTTACCTAAAATATCAATTTTGATATTTCTTACACGCATGCATTTTGTAAGTTTAAACTGCACTTATATATGATGTGTCAACACATATTTCTCACAAATCTGTATTGATCAACCCAAAACACAACAACAATGCAGCCATTGTATCCAATACTCCTTAAAAGAATCCATATACAGCATCAAAAGTGGTGTTAGGTACCATTGCCGATTTCTCCGTTGCGCAAATTGGTAACATTTGTTTTTTTTGGTTCCTTTTCTGCCATGTAGATCGATCTCTCAACAGTGAAACATTTTCATGGATCCATGTCGGATGCTATGTAATCTAGTAAAAATAAATAAAAAAATCGGATCGAAAAGAGAGGAATCATCAAAAAGGACAATTCCTCATTTAGGCCCGATTTCATAATCGATTTATAAGCTATTTTCCGGTTTATCAGAGAGCAGCCAACCAAACAACAGATTCAACACTGATTCCTGAATCACTAATGTGGCATTGTAATCGACAATGACCCCAAACACCTCCTAACAAGTGTTTTTTAAAAGGTTATGAAAAATCAATTCCTTGTATGCAAGTATATGATAAAAGAAATAAAAACTTGATGCCAAAAATGAAACTTCAGCTTATCCGTTTCTCTCTCTCTCTCCACAACCATAGCCATAGTGCAGAGGTTATGATTTATGGGCTGATATTTTCGTAATTATAAAGATAATTTTTTTTTAGCAAAGATCCAAAAATAGTATTAATTCCGTCAGGGCGGGGTTAGGCTATAGCCTCATGGGTGGGTTGTTACTTGTGAGAGTTTAGAATTATCCGTCGAATTCGACTACGAAATGTCATTCTTTAACTTTGAAAGAGATTTCAGTCATTGTCAACTGTTTGTCTGGAAAAAATGGAATCACCACGGTGCTTAGACGGTAATAGAGGAAATGAATTTATGAAGAGACCAGATCTCCTGAAAGAAAAACGCGTATAAAGACGCTAAGAGAATGCCCAGATTTCTTGAAAGCAAGCATAAATTCATGGAGAGATATCCTACAGTTTTTGCTTTCAGGAAATCCCGTCTAAAAGCATGATAACCAACTACGTACTATACATCAGGAATATGGGGAGATGTTCCTGATGTGTGACTAGATGTGCTCTCAGTGTGTTTGCATGCCTTTTGATTTCAAGAGATCCGAGACCCTACCCAAAGTTGCAGAGTTTCTTCTAGTACTAAAGTCTCTTCTTTCTAACATGCACGTACACAGACACACAAAATCAAGTCAATGCTCCTTTTAACTGTGGATGACAAAGCCACATTGCCCATGTTATCTACCGTCGAAAGAAGTATTTTTCTCTTTCAGAAGAGGAGTGAAAGTGAGTTCCTGACACAATTTGAGTTAATGAAAACTATGTTGCAGGTATATTGGTGAATTGGGTTGCATGTCCTCTCATGAACAGACCGGACAACCATTTCTTGGGCAGTTGGCCAGTTGATGCTCAATCACCTGAATCGGATCTCTTTCTACCCTGATGGATGAACACCGAGGGATTGACCCATTCGACATAGGTTCCCTGCTTCTAGAGCTTCAAGTCGGGCATTTACATCAGGCTCGGGATAGGGTTCAGGACCTTCGGGCCCATTAGAAAAACTAAGAAATTCCCAGGCCAACCTGACCCAAGTTGCACCCCTACCAGCTTCCTGTGTGGAGATTCTAAATCACACCAAAAACAATTTTCATAATGAAATAAATACAAATAGTAATAGAAATCGGTACTAATAGGCCATGGTTACTCCTATAAAAGCATGGATTATCCAGTGTATGATACAACAAATTGGAGAATGTCTTCTATACACTTGGTCGAATACAAAGTTTGCTTCCTGTACATGTATAGCCAAATGAATGAAAAGGGAAAACAGGAAGGGAGAATTACTGGTTATATGATCATACAAGAGTCTAAAATGGTCCCATAAGATTTCTTATTTATGAGAGGTGTTCATCATGCAAACAAGATTACCTTGAACTAATTATTACCCATTAATTAACTGCTGACAAATCAATTGACTCAATTCTGTCTACTCCCATGTACAAGCTGCTCCGCTGATGCAAGGTAGTAATTGAAAGGCAAACTTGACTTCAAAATACCTACTCCCAGTGGTACTTGTGCTAGTGAGGTACAACTAGACAATGAAGCAAATATAACAGGTTCTATAAGACAGAATCTGCTGAGTGAGTGGGCCAAAGGAGCAGTTTATGGAGTAAGCAGGAAACGACTAACAAATCAATTGAGAATTTGGATGACATGAAATGAAATCCTTTTAGATTAGCTTTTAATAACATGAACACACAACATCCTCATCTAAATTGGAGTCATTTCAATTCATCAGAGGTAATTATAATGAGTTTCACTCATTGCAACTCTGGAGCTGTCCTTGCTAATATCTTTTCTTAACAAGAAGAAATGACTCCATTTTAGATGGTGAATATGTGCTCTCAAATACAAGACAAACATCCCATTTGAGTGGTTTCCATCTCCTGATTTGGCACCACCTATGGGGATAGATAATCCTTGTGGTCAGTCGGTCAATCTGGTGCTTCTGGTTGGTTCCATAGACATTGAGGTATCTCCAAGGCAGACAACATTTCTATTAGAAGGCTTCATCATCAATGCTAATATGGCCTAGAGCTGTGCAAGAAGGATCTCATTCCATGTATCAGGAATGCCTGGTAAACACCAATGCAAGCAATCCTGGATACCAGGTGGAAATTCAATACTATACTGGGATATGTGGCTCTCATCTCTCAGCTGGGAGAGAGCAGTTATGTCTAAAAGCTTAACACTTGTGCCATTCACAGCCCCCTCAGCTACAGGATCACTGGATTTGTCTTGCAAAACTTCCTTCCCTCCAGCCAGTGGGGTGGTATTATTACAGGTTCCCCCAGAATTCCAATCCCCATTCAAGTAATGCCTGGGTGAAATAGTCCTGAAGAAGGTCCTCAGCTGTGGATGTTTTGGGAGCTGCAAGTCTAGCCACTTGACAATACTATAGATTGTGAAATTTTTGGCATCTGCAATATCTGTGAACTTCATATTAGGCACACCACCAACATGCATGACCCAGCGGTTTTGTGTAAGCTTCCATCTGTTCCAATGGTGTCCTGTATTAAGGACCAGCACATCAAACATGTGAAGGTACCGGTGCAGGAATGCTGTTGGACGATCAAGGTGCATAGCATATTCAGTATTGGGACCAGTGATGTTAAGAGGCTCCACATCACAGAGGCAAACTGACCAGTAATAGAGGACAGTAGTATTGGTTTCCTGAAACCAATAAGCCCAACCATCAGGCCTTTTAGCACCGGGAGCTTTGACAAGACCATATTCCCTTCCAATATCCATGACATCAGGCCTCTCTTTGCCACCTGTCAGCATACACATTAGTGATTGGAACTGCTGCCTGCCCAATGAATCCCCAACAAGAGCTACAGTCTTGTCCTGCATTCTGGAATAAAACATCAACATCCATCAAATCAGAACAAAGAGAACATAGACCATAACTCCTCATTCAGAAAACAATATAATGCAAACCAGTAACTATAAAAAAATAAAAAAATAAAAAAATAAACAAAACAAAACAAAATCATAGACAACACTAATGGGACTGAAACATGGCAGAAGAGAACATAGAACATAGTTCCTCATTCAGAAAACAGCATAATGCATAGCAGTAACTATAAAAGAATGCATGTGTCATAGATAGCATGGTCTATGACATTGTAACTGCACTAAAAATAAGTATAGAACCAACTCAGATCCAACCAGACATTTAACTGCATTAAAAATAAGCATAGAACCAACTCAGATCCAACCACATCCTGCCCATCAAAGTCATCCAAAAAAGAGTTGAACCAATTTTGAATCCAAAGTATGAATATTCAATCTAGATGCTACGACTCTAGCCTCTCTACTGAAAATGGGATAATCTCCACAAGACACCAGTAGTTTCTCCCATTCACCCAACAATAAGCAAAGTGACCTTCCAAAATGCACTCTTGACTCAAGGGAAAAAAATTATAGGATCCTAATGATGCAAAGGATTTTCTATTTCTAGAAAACAAGCTATATTTCTGATCACCTAAAAGGATGAGATAGATCACCTATGCACTGGAGCTGGAAAATTTTGATAAGGTAAATGGAATAGGAGGTTCCCTAGTTAGAATGTTAAATAGCATGTCCATCTCCCTACAGTGACCTAAATGAAGTCTGCAAAACTTAATCTCTCCATTCCTAAGGGGAGGGGGGGAGATGTTATACCTTTTCAAAAATTTAGATGCTTCAAAATCTGGCATCTCACAATTATCTGGCTTCCATCTGAAGTTCTCGTAGGAAAAATCTGTGCGTTTGTTCAACCTACAAGCCCACATCTTTGACAACCATTTTTTACAACCAAACCCAGAATATAGTGGCCGTCCATTGTCCTCAACCCATTTTCCCTTGGCATAATTACAGGCTGCAGAAGTACATAGGTAAATTACTAATAAGTAAGAAGTAAATACCACAAGATGCATATGTCATATAGATAATTAAATAAAAATAATTCAGGCATAAATCATGCTGCGCCTACTTGAACAAATTACCAAGTAAACCAAGCAAGACCAAGAAAAGGTTTCAGAATACCTATTTCCTCAAGAAAACCAATTTGGCAATATGACAAAAATCAATTCAATAGATAATAACAGGAGTCTGGTTGTTAAAGTCTATTACAGCTGAAAGGATAACATGACCAAAACAGGATTAGGATATCATAATAAAAACATGTATTTTATGCTATGCGGAGTAAGTAGACCTCAATATATAGGAACAGCAAGTTTGCAAGTTGTAGTCATTCCAAGTATCCTATAACACGAATGGTAAACTCTCGACTCTTGAATGGATCTCTTAGTTATTTATGACTTAACAGAACGTCAGGAAGTAATCTCATACAATTAGGCTATGTTTGGTTTTAAGGAAAATGTAGGGAAAGGAAGGGAAAGACAGGGAAACCAATACAAAAAGTAGAGGAAAAGTTATTAAGAAATTCTGTGAAATTCCTTGAGAATTTTCCCTCAACTTTCTGTGTCCCTATTATTTTCTATCAAACCAAACCATCATTATCATCATCCCTGCCTTATCTAAACTATATGTCAGCTACATGAAACTTGTTTTGCCAATCAGTTCTATTTAAAGCCATAACCACTGTTAAATTATTGGTGCTTAAATTATTTCTTACTACTTCTACCAAACCAAATGCAGCCTTAATAACACCAGAAAGTTGATACTGTAACTGCAACAAATGAAAGAGCTTTTCTTTTGTTTGTTTTTTATTTTTTTTTTGAAAAAGTCACATCATATAAAAGAGTTAATTGATTGTTTGCATAGTCTGGATTTATAAGTATATGCACCATATGTTTCGTGGGCAAATAACACCACTTTAACAGAACCTTATGGGGCATTCTTGTCATCAAGACAGTCAAAAAATATGGAGAATATGGAAATAAACAATTCACAACTTTCTCCTTCAGAATAATTGTTGGTTCCCCATCATCTTTTCACTTCAAAGAATAGTTTGTGGTTTTGGAATTCATTGTTGTAAATTCTGTTGATATTTGTTACACTTGTTTGGTTCTTTTTATCCTTCTGGGCCTGGTTTGAGTGGTATCCCTTCCCCTAGCATACTTGACAATAAATCTGTGGCACTACAGGGAAATCAAAAAGGTAGATAATGTAATCAAAATAACCATGATGAGTTAGGCTCTTGGTGTTGAACATAATGGTGAGCCTAGTATACTAAAAAAAATTCCAAACAGGTAAACTGAACTAATAAAGAAGGAACCCTGGCATTTGACAAATACCAAATTGCGCTGACCAGATTATGGTTAAAAAAAAAGTATCAAAAGTAACAGGTTGTAGAGATTGGCTGCCATAGGCAAAATGCATGAGCTAAAGACATGGGACCATTATCAAATTGCTCTAAGTAGTAAAATAGATATGATAATGGAACCCAAGAGTAAAAAGTACTAACAGAACAAAAAATAAAATATAAAACTACACTACCTTTCTTCTCCACAGAGAGTGTTAATGAATTCCCATTAATTTTACTACTCTGAAGAGAGCTTATGTTTGCAGACCCCAATGGTGCAACTGCATTGAAAGCTTGTTCCATGTTTTCAGTCCTAGTTTCTTCATCTGTTACTGCATACAATAAATCTTCCTTTGTAAAAGTATCTGGTTTTGAAGATGCTGAGCTTACCACATGCGCAATCTCTGTACCATCAACATAAAATCCATTACCCAAAGTTGAGGCAAAGATATGTAGATGCCATTTTGGTTAACTTTCTTACTTCTATAGTTCCTAAGCTCATTAAATCAGAACCTTTTTTCTCAGCAAACAAAATCAGTTGCTTACTATTTACCTGAACTGAAATTTTCTAATTCTCTTAATTCATTCAATGAGTCCTCCTTCATATCAAAGTATTAACTAAAGCAATAACTGAAACTGAAATGAAACATGTCAAATAAATGTGAGATCTAAGTGGAGACAAACCTGAAGAGGGCATCACGAACCAGTTTTGAAGTGGGAAGAATGTGGTGCCAAGTAGGGTTTTCTCCCATGCCCATATAAGGAAGGTTGTGCAAATCAAAACAACAAGAGTAAGAGAGAGCTGTTTGCCCCTTGATCCATAAAAGCTTGTTTTCATCCTTACATGCACCAATACAAGAGAGAGCGGTTTTCTTTATCCTTCTCTGCAATTCTCTGTGGAACAGACAACAAAGTCAGAAAAATTGGAAAAAAAAAAAAAAGAACATGCTAATGAACTACTAATTTTTACTTTAAACATTGACACACATCTGTAGAGCCACTCAAAAGTCACCTAAACAAGCACTAAAATTTATCCATGGTATTCAAAATTTCAGATACAGAATGTAATTTTGAGGGTTGGCAACAGTGGATGTTCCAAGTTACAGTCTGAATTTCCCCAAGATAATGACAAATGCACACTCACAGGATTAAGTTCACCAGATGTGACCCACATCAATCAAATTTCCAGAAAGGTATTTGGCGTAGCTGCATTTTTATGTCCATTGTTTTGTTCAGTGTTTATACTCAAATGGTCATAAAGATTAAAGGGGCACAACCCCCTTCTCTCATGATGTTTATCTATGAATCGTCATTTTGGCAATTCTATAATCAGGGGATGTTGCAGAAATGCCACCTCTCTGATGTGGCACATGGAAAAGTGAAAAGGCAGAGGAAACTTTTCTGACTTGTTGCATCCTAATTGCAGCAACTTTTTTAGTAATAAAAGTAAAACACTTAAACCCCTCATCAGCATTATCTCTACCAATGGGTATCTGGCAGAAAGCCTTAGGGTATTGTGTTGCTAATTATGATGAAAAGCAACAGGCATAAAATGAAACTATTCCAAAGGCCTTCTAACTTTTGAAGTTTATGTTTGTATTGCACATTATGGCAAAATGCAACCAGCATAACGTCTATCACGATGAGATTGTTGAGAAAGCCTACAAAACAAGCCCGTTCTGTGACTGCTTCCATTTCCAAACTTCCTGCTATAACCATTATAATAGATTTTAGTTGTACCAAGTACCAATCTGACTTTGGCCCAACTGCAAAACATTTGTAATTCGTTATGCACAAGATCTTGGGTAGCTTGAAAATGCCTAGAGGATCTAAAGGATAGAGTCAGATGGGTAATGAACTCCAATCTTAAGAAAACCACGCACAACGGCACAAGATCTCAGGTTCTCCCTGCTGGTGTTATAACAAGCCTGGGGTATGAGTGAAACTGTGAATGGCGTCAGTGCCCACCATTTAACTCGGCCCCCCTACTAGTACTAGATGTCCCACCCATTGAATGCCCGTGAGCATTCGATGTGCGATAGTCTTTGGTATGACAGAAAAGAAAGAGAAATAGAAAACAGTTTGTAATTAAGAAAAGGCATACATATCTACATTGAAATCAATACGAACCTAGCTGGGATTATTCCATTTACTGATCAGGGGTTAAAGGCTCGGCAATATGATTTTCTGGATATGTTTTACGCGTTTTCAATCAAGCACAATTCATTGTATGCAAGACCCGGAAAGAGAAAAGAAATTTGCGACTAGATGAATCGATTTGATTAACAGAAGCTTAGCTTCAGACAGCAAGAGAGAAGAAGAGTACCTGTATCAAGAAAACGATCACGAGATGGGCAGTGGGCGAGCGAAGAGAAAAATCGTAGTCTCGTAGAGAAGAAAATTGAGAAACAAGTAAACGAAACTGAAATAGTCGAAGGGAGACTAGCAGATTGCATTTGCATTGTTCCCACCGACATGAATTCCAACTATACTCTTCTTTTTTTTAAATCGTCTTTTCAAGAATTCCGGATAGTAGTTGAACTTGGGCATTTGAGTACCCAGGATCAATGGTAAATTCTTGGCATATTATTTGGACGATCCAGATCATCAGTTGAAATTTGACACAATCATTTTTACGGCTTAAATCTGTGGCTGAATATTGGGAATCATTTAAAATGTCCAAATCGATAGTTACAATTTGGATAAAATTATATAATTTGATTGCAGAAGTATAGCTCAAAGATTTTAGCCGGGATTGTTTTTCTCCATCCATTTAACGTGAAATATGTGCTTAATTTTATAGGTCGAGTTTCCTTAAAATAAAATTTCACAGATCTACACATGGACAATATTTTCTTATGAAATTATTATTCATTTAAATTTTTTTCTTTTTTAGATTTTAAGTAAAATCTATAATGCATTTACTACACACTCAGCAAAATATATGATTTAGTAAGTATACTTTATTAATATAAAAGTACATTTTATTAAACATCAAATAAACAGATTTTAATATGATGAATTAAGATTTAAATTTAATGTGCAACCAATAGCAGTACTCTACAGTTTATGTTTTATTGCCTGATCTTAACATTTGGGTTTTAGAAAGAATGTATTATAGAGATTCTAATACAAAAAGTAGTAGCACTTAATAAACTAAATAGATAGTAACACTGGGGAACAGGATAGCATGGCTCTAATTTTAGTCACAGTTTCAAGGTGCTAACTGATTGGTTGGTATGGCCTCCTGCTGGTTTCACATCTGTGCCCCACAACATCCCACAGCTCATCCTCGCCATTTACTGGGAATATCTCCCGAGGATATACTAGAATAGATGATGTCATCATTGGGAGATGTTCTCAATACACAGTGGGAATGTGCTGTGGGACGTTGTGGGGCACAGATCTGAACTCAGGTTTGGGATCAAATCCTGCCTGCACCAGGGTTGGGGGATGGGCTACTCCTGTTGTGTAGTCCCGTGGAGCAAGTAAAAGTTTATAATGCTTTATCTGCTTTACCCTGGAAATCTCCTACTAAACTGTTTCCTTAAAGAGTGTAGAGAGTTGTTATGGGTTACGCCCAAGAAATTCCTCAGTGATCAAAACGAGTATCAAGGAACTGTGGTATGAGAACATTGTCCAAACAGCTCAGCATTGGACAAACCTACAATAACTAGAGGTTATTGGTTTTTTTTTTTCTTTTTCTTTTGAGTTTTGATACAAGAGGTTATTGGGGGCGAATTTCTAGTGGCACAGAATAAAGGAGTTCTAATTTGGCACATGGAAGAGATGAAAAAGATAGGGATCTAAGTTTTAAGTCTAGATTGTGTCACTGGTGGAAAATGTACTGGAAATAGCAGCTATAACCAGAGAAAAAATTAAGACCATAGTAGATAAAAAGAATCATTTATTCTGTCTTTCTTTTAATCCAGGGGCGCAATGGTAAAACTTGGGTTGACAAGCATGAGAATGTTGGTTCAAGTCCAAGAGCAACCCTTTTGTGCAAAAATGAGGCCAAAAACTAGGTATGTATCCAGAAAAAAGAATTCCATTCTAAGAGAAGCCACAAAAGAATCAAACAGCTTTCATCTTTCAAATGGTCCTGTAAAGAAGGTACTTATAAAAAAAAAGGTTCTGTAAAGAAGGAAAAACAATCTGCAGAAGAGAGTATGGAGCATCATTTGTTTGGGGGTAAAAGAGTATGGAAAACCAATTGGGTGTTCAGATATACATGAAATTAAATCATTTCAACTATTCTTTAACGACATTTGAAGCCACAACTTGATCTTTAAGAGAAAAAATAGTAATTACTTAAATTTATTGAAACCTCAAAAGGTTTCATTTTACATGTTCTCCAACAATATGAAATGGCTCCATTTCAGATGAACCGGTGCTCTCAAGTGAAATGGGAAAATATAATAAGACCATTTCATCCTAAGTGGTTCCCAAACACTCGTGAACATCCCATGGGCCATAATTTCGTGGACCTAATTAAGTATTGGGTGCCAAACCCCTCCTCTTAACACCACATATGAGGATAGATCATCATTATGGTCAAATGTTTTATCATATCCAGTGCTTCAGGTCTGTATCCTCAAGAGATTGAGATGTCTCCTTCCCAGGCAGAGATTTTTTTTTTAAAGACTTGATTGAGAAACTGTCATTTGGCCTATAATTGTGCAAAGAGTATCTCATTCCATGTATCAGGAATGCCTGGTAAACACCAATGCAAGCAATCCTGGACACCAGGTGTTGCTTTAATGCTGTACTTGGAAATGTGGCCCTCATCTCTTAGCTTGGAGAGAGCAGTTATGTCCAACAACTTCACATTTGTCCCCTTCACAGCCCCCTCAGCCACAGTATCACTGGATTTCTCTTGCAAAACTTCCTTTCCTCCAGCCAATGGAGTGGTATTCTCGCAACTTCCCCCTGAATCCCACTCCCCATTGAAGAAATGCCTAGGTGAAATAGTCCTGAAGAATGATCTAAGCTGTGGATGTTTTGGAAGTTGCAAATCTAGCCACTTGACAACACTATATATTGTGAAGTTCTTGGCACTTCCAATAGTTGCAAGCTTCCCATTCGTATTGGGAACACCTCCAACGTGCATGATCCACCTATTTGCTCTAAGCTTCCCTCTGTTCCAATGGTGTCCTGTGTTGAGGACCAGGACATCAAACCTGTGAAGGTAACGGCGCAAGAATGCTGCTGGGCGATCAAGGTGCATTGCATAGTCAGTGGCTGGGTCCTTGATATTAAGAGGCTCCAAATCACAGAGGCTTGCAGACCAGTAATAGAGGATAGTAGTATTGGTGCTTTGGAACCGATAAGCCCAACCCTCAGGCCGTGTAGCATGGCGAGCTTTGACAAGACCATACTCCTTTCCAACATCAATGACATCTGGTCTATCTTTGCCACCTGTCACCATGCACATTAGCGATTGGAACTGCTGCCTGCCCAGTGAATCCCCGACGAAAGCTACAGTCTTGTCCTGCATTCTGGAGTACAATATCACCATCTAAGAAATTGAATAAAATATAATTTCAATAAGAAGGAATATAATTTCACCAAAAAATAATAATAAACAAAGACCATGGGTTCTAATTCAAGCTACAAAATAATGCAACTCAATAACAACTATATCAAATAAGAGAAGGAAATCAACTGAGGTTCAGCAACACCACCACCGTGTCTAACAAGCCCATTAGTAAGAAAGCAAATCTCAGGATCCAGGTTATGGGCCAGCATAGCTTCTCTAATCAACCAGATAAGCAGCTGAGGTTCACCGTCCATAAATGCCTTTCCACACACCCAAGGGACACACGGTTAGGTCTTAAGCATTCAAATGACACTTCTTTTAGAACCTGTCATGTTTCTGAATACCTAAAATGGTGATAAGCCAGAGATACATTGGAGTTAGGAAAATCCTGACAAGGTTTCCTAGCTAAATATCAATTTTTAAATGCATCACTCTACAGAAGGACCTCCATTGCAGAGAAATTCAGAGTTGTATCCTTCTTAAGGGACAAAAAGGTACCTTCTCAAAAATTTAGATTCTTCAAAGTTTGGCATTTCACAATTTTCTGGCTGCCATCGAAAACTCTCATAGGAAAAGTCTGTGCGCTGGGTCAACCTACAAGCCCACATCTCTGACAGCCAGCGCTTGCAACCAAACCCAGAATACAATGGTCGTTTATTGTCCACGACCCATCTTCCCCTTGCATAATTACAGGGTGCTGCATTGGATCAAAAGCATTTAATAATTACCAAGGACAAAAATAAAATACTGCAAGTTGCATGTAAATAACACCAAAATTATTTGCAGAATGAATCTGCTTCCCCAACTAGAACGAATTACCAGCACAAGCAAACATTATAGAGAAACAGCACCATAACAGAATAGCAGTTTAAGAGATGTTCCTTAATTAACAAGGACTTCACCTTTCTCCTCCACAAGAGTCCCTGAACTCCCATCATCCTTTCCCTTCACAGAAGAGGTGTTGATTTTATGAACCATTGTTGCTACTACCTCGACATTTTTCACTTGTTCAGATCCATCTTTTTCTTCTAGGCCTGGTTTGAGTGTCAACCCTTCCCTTAATGCATTTGGTAAAATTTCTGTGCACCAAAAAGAAAACCCAGAGGGTTAACATGGAATCAGGGGTTTCATGATTATCTTTGCTTTTGATGTTGGACACAACAACAAGCTGAATGCAGTGGGCCATCCAAATAGGTGTTCTGTTAAATTAATGGAAAAAGAAATAGAAGCCTTCATTCTTGACGATTCCCAAATGACACTTATGAGATTATGATAACAATCTTACAGTAACAGGCCAAATAACTAGGAATCTCCAAGTACCAGAACAATGATTCTGGACTATGTCCAAATCAAGAGTTGCTTATGAACTGAAGAATCCAGATTGATCACCATAAGCATAAAGCATGAAGCAAAGATAGGTATTATCAAACCAAAAGTTGCTCAAAGTTGAAATTAGACAAACTAAAGAGCAAAAATTATAAGCACAAATAAGACATACTACCTTTCTTCTCAAAGGAGGGTCTAGTTGGATTACTATCATTTTTACTCTTTTCAGGAGAGTTCATGTTTGTAGGTGCTACCACAGAGAAGCTTTGTTCCCCATGCTCAGTTATCGTTTCTTTGTTTGGTTCTGCATATGATAAATCTTCCTTAACATAGACATCTGAGTTTGAAGATGTTGCGCTCACAAGAGGTGTGCCCATGAGTATTTCTGCACCACCAGCAGAAAACACAATGGTAAATGTTATATAGTGCCCGTTTTGGATGCCTTCTGTAGTTTCTAAATTCATTTCAAGTCAAAATTGTCATCCAGAAAGCAAAACTAATAGTTTAATATTTACGTCAAATTGTCTAATTCTCTTAACTCTGTTACTTACATCCTCAAATGTATCCAAGTATTAAAAATGAAAGAAATTATATTAATTGGAAATGATATATGAGTGGATATTAACCTGAAGAAGGAATTGAGAGCAGGCTTTGAGGTGGAAGCAATGTGGTGAGAAGTGGCGTTTTTTCCCATGCCCAGATAAGGATGGTTGTGCAAGCCATAGCAACAAGAGTGAGAGATAGTTGTTTCCCCTTCAAACCATAAAGCCATCGTTTCATCCTTATATGCCCAAAATTTTATTTTAAAGGCATTCAAGTGTCACCAAACACAAGAGGTTTCCTTCAGCGTCTTCTACAATCCTGTGTAGAACACAAGAGAATAATAGTTCATGAAATATGTACAACCCAGGAGGAACATGCCAATCATTCTAAATTTCAAATATTGAAGTTGGAAACTTTGAAATCACTAAACATTCATCTGGACTACTTAAAAGGAAAATAAAAAGTAAAGGAAGAATGCTGGAAAAATAAAGGTACAAGAACATAGATTGTCCAAAAAAAATGAACATCCAAGGTGCATCTGGAGGATAGTTTAAAGAAGCTCTCACAAGCTGATCTCTCTACCAAACCAGAAATAACTATTATATAAGATTTCGTTCTGGTCAACAGGTTTTGCTAAGCAATAAGTTGGTTCTTGCTCATGTCTGTCAACAATGTACTTTATTGAACATAAGTTCTTTGTTATCACAAAAAAATGCATACTGGATACTTGACATGAAATTGTTAGCCTGTAGAACTACCTTAGAGAATAGGACTCGACTCAATAAAAGCCTTTGTCCCAATCATGTTGGGTCAGCTAACCCAGAGAATCTAAAAGATAATAACAGAGTGTATTTCTATAATGTCCATAAACAAGCTCATAAATGTCCTGCTGGTGCTGTTAAACATGTTTGAATCATGTTTATCGCATTAGTCATATGCTCCCCTAATTTAACAGTGGATATGGCACTGAACAGACCGAAATAGCAGAACAGGTTCATGTAGCCAAACCCATATAGTTGGAGAAAGGTTTAGATGATGATGGCATATGCTCCCCCTAAATTAATCCTGCAAATGATTTGTCTTGCTAATAGGAAAGAAATTCTAATGGTGGAGAACTTTAGCTCTTACCAGTAAAAGTATTAAACTTCCTACCAGAATTTCTTCAGAGGAGMACCTGCCACAAAATTTCAGAACTCAGAATGCTGTAATGTTTTTTTCTCCAGCACAAATTTACGTGTTCTTAGTAAGAAATGGATAATTCTATGCATTATCCAGGAAGAAAGAAGAAAAACACAAACTAAGAAAACAAGCAACATTGCATCCTAACCTAAAAGCAGAACAAGCTAGAAGAAAAACAAGCTAAGACCCATTTCTGAAATCCTGTTCAACAGTGTCTGCAATGAAGTTAATGGAAGCTTAGCTCCAGAAGAACCAAGATACAGACATACCCTGATAAACCGAAAGAAAAAAAAAGCCGAACCAAATCTCGCTGGAGTTGCAGAAGATGGGGAAATTAAGGGTAAAGAGTCCAAGAGAATATAGCAACAGAAATTAGAAATGAAATAAAAGGAAGTCAAAAGCCAGAAGACTCTCACACAGAAAGAGAGGTGAAACCGTACAGAAGAAGGCGAAAGTTGACAATCACGAGAACCAAGTATTCATCAACTTATTACCAGAAAGAAAAGAAAATAAAAATAGATAAAAGCCATCCACAATTCCACTTGAGCAACATAACTCATTCCGACACAAACGACAAACTGGAAATCAATTCATTAACAGCCGTCAATGCTGTCTTGACTCTGTTTGCTTGACGCGTACTCACTTCCAGTCACATGAGTGGAAACTTTTCGCCACCTTATCCCTGTGAAAAGGCACGGATGTAATGTATAAATTCCAATCTGACGTTCCAGAATTCTATTAAATGGTATCGTGACGTGATCCAATAAACTCAGCGATATGCAAATTAGTATGGTACGGAACGAAAAGGTATGTTACCAGAAAAACATTAACCAATCAGAAACGTTGTTAATTTGAATGAATAGCAGATGATCGGTTAACACTTGTTGAGTCATTCCGCATTCGACTCATTCCATTCGTTATATACAATAGTAAAGTCAGTTCCAGTTGAATTTATTAATATAAACTCCGTACAGAATATTACAGTAAGTATTTGGCTTGGTGGAGACCCCCACTATGTATTCGGGTGTGTCATGTGGAATGTTAAACAAAAATTTTCATCTGATTTAGACGATTAAATTAGGTTTGATCTGTCATTGAACAACCCGTTTTATCTGGAGCTTCGGCAATAGGAAGACTTTTGTGATGGCGTGTCGGGGCTGGCTTTTTTTATTGGAATTAGAACAATAAATTATAATTAATTTGTTTTTTTGTAAGGGATATGACATATGACCTAACTTGTTGACAAAGTTAGAGTGGGATTAGTTTTTTAGTAGAGTATGTATGAACTTTGAATGTAGAATTTTTTTTTTTCTTTTTAATATATGAATCTGGTCTGGTTTGCATCCCTAAATTGGTCTCTAAAATGAGTATAAGAGAAGGAGGTGAACGATGGCGTAAGACCGCGATTTCATGGAAATGACAAGTGGCTAATTCAGTCAACAACAGTTTTATAGATGGAAATTGGAAAGAGGTGGCAACGAGCCGAATTATTGGAACTCGGCTTAGCTCAGTTTCAATCGARCTTGGAGCCGAGCTCGAGTACGATTCACATGCTCAATTAACAAACGAGTCTGCTCGAATATATATGATATAATAAAAAAATTATAATTCTTAATTTTTTAAATATTAAATAGAAAATATATTTGCTTGAACCGAATCAAGCTCGAGTCTTATATACAACAGTCTCAAGCCGAATTCGAGCTTTATATTATTCGGCTCGATTTCGATCGAATCCACCCCTAATTGGAATGACCAACAGTTTTTTAGCAGAAAACTGGAATTCGTTTGCCAAATAGGCCAGTTGGYTTCTTCAAGATTTAGAATTGTTTATATTTTGTCAGGTTGCTCTCTCCCGGTTCGGGTTGGGTGACTTGATCGGGTTCATATCCGCCTAGTGGATTTTTTTTTTTTTTTTGTTTTGTTGAGAAATGGACTTTGAAACGAGGATGCATTTTGTAATTTTACAACTTGTACGGATAAGAATAGCGTAGTAGGATGTGGTAATAAACTAAATTTGATCCTTCCTAGTCCTGACCACCATATTGTTTGAAAGAATGTGTACCATCAATCTCGTAACCCAACCTGTCCACCCTCAAATGTGTAAAGAATAGTTAGGGTTAGGGTGGCTTTTGCATTTTCATGTACAGGGAGCATTTATTGTTATAGACTTAAAAAAAAAAAAAAATACTGGTTGGGAGGTCTAGTGAGCTGGATTCTTTAAATACCTTTCCAAAAACCAAATTTTGAAAAAGGAAAATTGTCTAAAACTCACCATGAGTTTTTAGTATTTCTCTTAAACTCACCACAACTTTTAAAAATGTCAAATCTCACCATGTCACTAACTTGACGTTAAACAGACTAATGGGTGTTAATATTTTACCATTTTAACCTTCATAGAAAAATATAAAATACATGCAAAATAAATTAACGGTGTTATTATATTACCACTTTAATATTTAGACATGAAAAAGGTAAAAGTTCAAAAACATATTTTCAAATATAAAATACATAAAAACATCGAAATTACAAAAAATATAAAAAAAATTATAAAAATTGCAAACAAAATAAAAAATTATTTTCAAATTATAGAAACTATAGAAATTAAAAAAAAATCAAAAAATAAAAATTGTAGAAAAAACACCAAAAGTTATAGAAAACACAAAAATTGTAAATAAATAACAAAAATACAGGAAAATTTATAGATTGTAGAAAATAGAAAAATGTAAAAAAACAGAAACTATAAAAAACATTGGAAATTATAACAAAACATTAAAAATGCAAAAAAAAAGAWAAAAGAAAATTGAAAATTGAAAAAGACCATTTTTCTTCTAACTCACCATTCAAAGGTAATTTGGTCATGAAAATTGTTATTTATGCTAACATGGACACCTCTATTAAGAAGCATTAATGGTGCACTAAGTGCACTAACGGAAGGTGAATTTTGAAAAATTAAAACTTACTGATATGATGAGTTTTAGACATTTTGAAAAGTTGGGAGTTTAGAAATATTGAAAACTCATAGTGTGTTTCAGACAAATTTCCTTTAAAAAAAAGAATATATTTTTACTGATAAAGCTATCGATAGTTCGATACTTGAACCACGGTAAGTCTTCAACTGCAGAAGAGGGCCACAAGGGACCCACACAACAAACAAACACGGCATTTTCACTCTTGATAGAATGCTTATTCTGAGAATAAGCACTTATTTGAGAATCACAAATTTTTGGGGTTATTATGAAGTGTCTATTCAGTAAGTGTTTATTTCTTTTATGGGCCCATCTCGGCCCATCGCATTATTTTTAAAAGACCTATACTACCCCTAGTTTAAAATAAAATAAATTTGAAAGGCGATATAAGCACTTTTTGCTTCTGGTCCATCCACTGTTCCAAATGAAGCTAATTGGTGTTTGGAATGGATTCATTCGTTTTCATACCGAGCCTTTCCCACGGACCCCACCTTTGGTGGCCTCAAGTCAATTACGTAAGATGCTGAATCAAGCCCTTGATCTTGGATAACCGGTCAGCGGACGGAGCGGATCACAAATTTTGAGCCGATGGAGGGGACACGTAGGGGTGAGCACTATTTGATTAAAACCGAATTTTCAAATTTATTACCGGTTTTGATTTTCAAATTTGAAAATTCGGTTAACAAAAAAAAAATCCAAACTGAATTTCATTGCGGGATAACTCAATATATATAGATGGAATTCGATTTTAATCAAAAAACGGAATAAGAAATTTGGTTTATTAGGTTCTGTTTTCAACCGAATAAACCGAATGCCAACCCCAAACGCGCAGTCTGCGTGCCGTTGTTTTTACGCCGCAGCACGTTTTTGTCAACTGTTTGCATTTGCCTTCAATATATTACTATTATTTAGGGGACTACTAGGCTGACTAGCCAGCCCCATATCCCAAAACAGGCCGAAGCTTTCTGCGGAAAAATCAATGGCGGACCGAAAACCCGAGCCTGGAGATTCTTCCTCAGGTATTCCTTCTCATCATTTCCCCATAAGTCTCACTTTTCCTTCGGAATTTCATCGTGGATTCTCTGTTTATCTGATTAAACTGCATTTGAATTCTCATGGCGACAAGGTTTGATGGCTTGAGAGAAAGACTTTGAAAGTTTTTCCTCTTTCCCTTATTAGTTACCTGTTTCCCTTGGTTTCTCCCATGGATTAGAGAATTTTGAGATTTCTCAAAGTTCTAGTTGATAGGTTTGTGCCCAAATGATTTTATTCCTATCTGGGTATGTCCTTTATAAGAGTAAATCCTTTACGCCATTTATGGTGTCTGTTTTATCAATTCCTGTTAACTCCGTCTGCACTGCCGTCATGGTTTTGATCGCTATAAATCCTCTTTATCCCTCATCTTTTTTCTTTTTTTGTAAATTCTCAAATTTTTAACATGTTTCTAAGAGCCCATCTTAATTTAGCTTAGTATTTTTTTTTCTTGAATTTATTGCAATTTTCCCTGTTGCTCAAGCACGCTATCCTTTAAATTCTTTGAACGGAACCAGGCCGGGAGAAATTCTTAATATATATATTTTTTTGGTCTTGCTAGAGAAAGATATAAAAGGACCTAATCTGATTGAAAGAGTGAAGGAAGAGATAGAAGCAATAGTGCACTCTGAGAAATCACCACATCATCACAAGGAAACTCATGGAAGAAGTGATGATATAGATGAGAACACCCCAATTGATGAAGTCAAAGGTCCAGGTTTCTTTGAACGGGCAAAGGAGGAGATTGAAGCCATTGTTGAAGCAATTCACCCAAAAAAAGAATCCACCRGCCAGAAAAATTCTACTTCCTTGGGGTAAAAGGAGAGGCTAACTATAAAATCAAGAATGTTTTTTATTTGCCTAGCAAAAAAAAAAACAAAAAAAGAATGTTTGTGTTCCTTTTTCCGATAAACATTTTGTATAAATTTAACTTATTATTGTAATTTGAATGATAAGATTCCTGCCAGAGAAAGATGTAAAAGGACCTAATCTGATTGAAAGAGTGAAGGAAGAGATAGAAGCAATAGTGCATTCTGAGAAATCACCACATCATCACAAGGAAACTCATGGAAGAAGTGATGATATAGATGAGAACATCCCAATTAATGAAGTCAAAGGTCCAGGTTTCTTTGAACGGGCAAAGGAAGAGATTGAAGCCATTGTTGAATCAATTCACCCAAAAAAGAATCCACCAGCCAGAAATAAATCTACTTACTTGGGGTAAAAAGAGAAGCTAGATATAAATTCAAGGATGTCTGTGTTCCTTTTCTGATAAACATTTCTCTAGATTTAACATATTGTAATTTGAATGATAAGATTCATATATTGAAATTCCTTTTTTCAGCCTTTCAATGTCGTTAGCTTCATTTGAGCTGAAGAATTTATGTTCAGAAAATTTTGATTGGTTTTCTATTTCCATTCTTGTTGAGCATCAGCTACTGTCAGTGGATTTGGGATTGGAAAGATTACCTTTGGTTCAGGCAGGTAATGTTCTAGTACCCATTAGAAACTAGTCTTGAGTGATGCAGTCAGGCTCCAAGGAGCAGCTTTTATTATTTATTTACATTAGTTGATAAATCAGGTTGAGGTTCCACAAACAGCTGATCCAGTGAGGAAATTTTTCATGATCCAGCTATAATATGCATGGGAGTAGGAGGCTGTTTAGAACATCTGCATTTTGGCTTGGCACATCACCCTTTAAACATGCGTTAGGTTTCAGCTAAGTGGTTCATTCTTGGATGGTGAAAAGAGAGCTTTCTCTTTTTCCTAAAGAGGGTATTCAAGGCAGTATTGAGGGCTTACATGTATATAGCAAAATAGAACAAAATTTTAGAAAGGCAATACTTTCTAACCATGTGGAGAGTTAAATAACATGCCAAAACCAGACTATCAATTTGATAGGCACATTCTATTGGTCACGTATATATTGTTGGTATCCATGTAAGCTCCCAATACTGCCAACAATATTGAAGGCGCAGGTTGTTCAACAAGCTTTGATTTCTGACTTTTAGTATGCTAAGGAAGTTTTGGTCAATAAGGATCCCTTGATTTAATCTTCCCAAGTTTCGTGATTAAGATGCAGTAGGATGGTAGTTGATTAGAGTTTAGATTGTTCTTGGGAGTGAAGGTGGTTAAATGGCTGGATGCCATATGTAAATCAAAATAAGGATTTTTTTCCCTTCTGATAGGCAGCGAGCTAGTTTTTATAGGCCAGTTGGTAAATATGAGCTTTCAACTAAGGACTTCCCCAGTATTCCCAACTGAGCAAGCTGGTTTTTTCTGAACCCTTTATATGTTCATTTTTCCACTAGGAGGTTGGCATCCCTACACATTTAATGAAACATTCATAGCTTGTGCCAATTTCCTAGGCAGGTGTCTACAGTAGACTCCCTGAGTTACTTTTATGTCTTTTATAAGTTGAGGATATTGTGCTCTCCCTTTCTCATATGGGTCCATAAATATTTAATTTGGGATTCAATTAACCTTCTACTATCAGACAAGTTTTTTCTCTGTCTATATGGTTCTACTTTTGATTCCTTTTTATTATTAGGATGGTAGTCATATATTTCTTCATCATCACTTACCCGCTATATCATGACAGATGGATGGGAATTGTTTGAAACTTTGAACCTGAAATGAGTTTCTGGATGGTTCCAAATGATGCAAATTACTATACCCTGATCACATTTTGCACAAGCTGAGATACACCTATATTATCTGGGCCATGTCAAATTGATTTGACCGACTCAATTTGAATAAAGCTGCATAAGCTGAGATTCACTCCCAATTTGGAAATACAATATAGCGTTTTGTAGGTAAGGCATTGCCCCTTCTTAACATGGTAGTATGATATCATCATTATTGAAAAAAAAAAAAAAAAGAAATTCGTTCATAGATTGACCATAGACTTTTCCGCTTACTTTTCTTATTTTGTGCAAAAAAAAATCCTGATGGAATTTTAACAGTAATTACTATTCTCTACATTCACTTACCAAGCTCCTCACTAGGACTTTAATTGAAATTCACAACTATAATATTAGTTTCATTTGAGTGGAATATCTTATGTTACCATCCTCGGTGATATTTATAACTTGGAAATCTATTTGACATGTGATGCATGATTCTGAAGACTTAAGAACTGTTGATTGGAATTTGCTGTGTAATTTTGTTGGAATGCATCAGCATTACATCAATATGATGTTTCAGGTGCTTTATGAGCCAATCAACTTTAAATAGTGAGGGTTAGCCTTGGGTTTCACATGCCAAATTACAAGTTTCTATTTTGAATCTTGGTTTTAGATAGAGATAGAAGAAAAAGAAAGAGAGAAGACAAGATGTGTCTCGAACAGAGCAAAAATCAGCCCCTCAACTTAACTGATTCACTTGAACAAAAGAACAAGATAGGGTAAAGAACTACCTTCTTAGAGTAGCTGACCCATATACTTAATATCAAATGACACAACTACTTTCCACATCTCTTGATATTACTTCTAACAGTTTCATTATATGCTGCTTGTATCATGTATTTCAGCTTGGGGAGTAGGATTTGTTTTACCAAGTTAAGTTGGTGGTTTTGTTGGAAATAAGTAGGAACAGTTGTTGGGATGTTCAAATTATATTTGTTCAGCAGTTAGTTTCTTTAAGGTTTGGGATGTGGTATTCCTAAGAAGACTTCCTATTTTGCATGGGAGATCTTGGAACTCTTACATGGACAAAACCTAGTTGATCAGTGATCATGATATTGAAAGTTAGGACTGTCAACAGGTCGGGTCTGGGCTGGAACCAGCTGGAACCAAAACCGACCCAACATGAAATGTTGAGGACCTGGACCCAATAGGGTCTGTAATTTTTGGACCCAGAACCGAACCGATCAATTCTCAGGACAATTGAGTCTGACCCGACAGACCTGATTATTATAAATAAAAAATAAATATTTATGTTTAATATATATATATATATATATATACACACACACACACATACACACTAGGTGGAATCAGTTCAGGACTAGGTGGAACTGGTTTCGAACTGATAGTAATCAGGACCCGGGCCCGTCAGTTCTGGTTCCTAGAACCAGAATCGGCCCAATCAGTTTGGGTTCATCGAGTCCATCGGGCCGGACCCAACAAAAAAGGTTCACTTCTAAGCATAGCTTTTATGGGAAGCCCCTAGTAGAAAAAGCGAACTATTTGTTGAAAATGAGATGGCCACTGAAGTTAGTGGTTGGCTTTATCATGTTTCCGCATCCTATAATCCTTAGAATGAAAATGTCGTTTATTGCCCAAGCAGTAGTTGGTTATGTTATTGGCTGTTCTTTTCCCTCTTTTTGAATTATTTTGGAAAGGAACATGCACATACCCGAATGAAGCCACTCTCTTTTGCGTGCAGTCAAGCTTTGAATTAGTGACTATTCCTTCTTGTACTAAGTTTTGCAAATGATGCAGCTTCWTTGAAACTTCCTATGCTTTGCTCACAAGGACAAAATCCAAGTCATAGGAAATTTCTCCATATGAGATAGGCAGATAGCTTACACCTCCTAATGTGATTAAACTTTTATTTTTTTTTTCTTTGATAGTTCTCCTAATGCGATTAACCTGATACTGGCAATACCGCCATGTGCAAAAGTGCTAATTGGAAGCAAGATTCTATTAGAAAGTGATATATCATAGAAGTTGGGGCTCTTTGGTTAGGTTGCATTTCTGAACTGGTATTCCATCTGAAAGTATGGATGGTGCACCGAGCTGCTAACTGCTAAGTGGGGTTTTACGATGGAAAAGGATATTTGCATACCTCCTCTTAGTGCAATAATATCGTTTTCCATGACCAAAACATGTTGGTAAAATCTGTGGGAAAATTAGGTCTTTTTTTCACCTTCTTTTGTCCCCTTTCCTTATTAGTCAATTGATAATGGTCTTACGAAAATTCAAGAGAAGAAAGCTAAGAGAAAAGGGTAACAATTTTGTGGGATAAGTATATGCTTTCTGATCTTTTAGCTGAAATCTCCTCTGGAATTGGGGTATCTCACTTCTTTGATTCAGCATTGCCTGCCAACTTCTTCAAGCTTGTCAGACAGAAATATAAATTTTAGCATTTTGGTTGCCATCTGCTGTGAGACCATTATCTTTAGTTATAAATAAAATTTGAGCTCAAATGTCATATCTCCATTACTAATGACCGGAACAGGTGCATTTTCTTGAAATCATGAAATACCCTCGTTTGTATCGTTTCTATGCAACTAACAATGGCTCAATTGAGAACTCCGAGCTAGCTCGCTGGTAAAGTCACCTGTTGGCTGCTGGTTGTGTCAACCGAAGCTTTGAAAACTGCACCACTCAAGTCGTTTTCTGAATAGGGAGGTTGGACTTCTTGGCAGGAGAACGGAGACTCTTGAGTCGTGGCATTCATATCATATGTTCCTCAACAATCCAGGTTCAACCTCAAGAATGAGTCAACACCAGGAAATTTTTTATCCAATTGACCGTCATTTGAATCAATGTTTAAAATTTTGATATGATTCGCCCGATATAATACAATATAGGGTGTATCGTATCGTATCTTTGAAAAACAGATTTAGGATATATATATATATAT